ATTTGTTAAACCAGCTCATCAGTTTAAGTGGCACAAATTTATTAACCTAAATTTATTCTTCACCATGCCCTTTCACGTGCAATGCACGTCCAGAATTTTCGTAAATGAGGAGCGAGAAGAGATACAATGTTGAATCATCTCATCATAAAGCTTAAGCTGTCAGAGAGGAGATCGGTTTATTTATTAAAATTATTCTTCAACAAATCTTTGCAAGCTTAAGAAGGGAAGGTTTTGTTAGTTCCCATACAAAAAGCACCGCCTAGAGGATTTTAAGTCACAAGGGGGAGGCATAACATCCATCAGAACACCAACAAGCAAATATAATTGCACTACTATCTCCAATGCTAAAGATCAACAGCATCACTCGCAGTGGATATAAAAGGACAAACAGAAAGGGAAATGAGCATGCACTAGAGGGGTACATTCAGGGGAAAGCACACTGCAACAAATAAAAAATTAAGATGAAGCATAAACTGAGTTACTTAGCGCACGGAACCAAAGAGATATGGAAATCTAATAGTCAGTAAAGCATTCTTTTCTTTCTAAGGTGTGACGAAAGATGGATGGCATATGTTCTACTATACAGCTTTATGATTTATCTGGTTCCTGCAAAAGAAGAACCCTAGTTGACTATCAAATCCGCTCACAAATTATAGAGACTTTATCTGCTCTGGTTTCTCTTGAACTCTGACACAAAAAGGTGGATGTACTTATTCATGTGAAGATATACAATTCAACTGTTATATTATATTGAAGATTGCTTCATACTTTTTCTTTAAATCAGTCAACACGAATCATGAATGGTGCTACCCAACTAGGGCCGGACATGGTCCGGTTCGGTTCTGAAGAGAACCGAACTGAACCAAAATTTTCGGATATTTAGTAAGTGGAACCGTCGGGTCCAAATTTAATTATGGAACCGTTCGGGTTCGGTTCCATTCAGTTCGGTTCTATTCGGTTCCCGAGTTTCGTATGATAATTAATTTTTTTATATTTACAACAACGCTACATTAGTTCGACTATGACATGTTCAACATTAACTCTTACAAAATAATATAGTCCAATATGGTGATATCTTTTGCTCATCTCTTTGTTGAGTTCTTCATAAATTTGACTGTTAAAATTACAAGAAGAGAAAGATAGTCAGTTCATAATAATATGCTAGAATAAGAGATTTGAGTAAAATTTGGGTCAATTTGATTAAGTTGGGCTGTCTGAAAATTAGAAATAGTAAAATCATATTTTACGCTTGAGCTAAATTAATTAGTTAACAGATTCATTCAAAATTTTTTTTTTGACTTATTTAAAATTAAAAATTAAAAAAATTAGAGAGATTCGGTTCGGTTCTTGGTCTAGAACCAAGAACCGAACAAAACCCGTCGGTTCTCGATTCAAATACCCATTCAGGTATTTAACTTAAGAAGAACCGCTCGATTCAGTTTGGTTCGGGTCCAGTTCGGTTCCGGAGTTTTGTCCAGCCCTATACCCAACTAATGGGTCATTAGCACTTTTGGAAGAGTAATTTCAGCGATCCAGATGGATAAATCATATAACATTAATTTAATAGTTTACGAAAGACTATTAATTATCAACTTCTATCTGTAATTATAATATTATAGACATATTTGTCGCGACTTTTTGAGACACAAACTACAAAGGATGTGATTATGACTGTGTAGTTTGTGCTCCTGATTACATTCTCCGTTCACCAGTCAAACTTTCCTATGGATTCTATCCTACATGAAAAAGCTCCAAGGTTATTGATGTTCCTTGTTCCCAATTTATTTAAGGTAACGGGATGAACAGACGTGCCAAGGTAACCTCAAATGGAAGTACGGAAGAGTCAACAGATTTCCACAGTTAGCCTCCTATGCCGTAACGCCACAAGTCCAAGTCAGGGAATCTGTGATTTTCTCTCCGTCGATCTCCCATGTTTACCCCACCAACTCTTCCACACTTGATCGTTCAGATATTCCTCTGATTTTTATGTAGAAAATTATGATGTAATAGACATTACTTCTTGTAAGCTAGGGAAGATGATGGACTTAGGATCACTAAGATACGTTGGCACCAATGACATATAACATTATGCAAATTTTTCTAATTCAAAGTAATTGATACTATTACAAATGTACTTTGTTTTATTTATTAATTTACTTGTTATCCCTTCAAAATATTTTCCTTAAAGTCATTCCTTCACTATCAGTTTACGCTGCTCAATTCCAAGAGAACATGCATATATCCGTTCTTTTTCAGCTCTTCGCCACTTTCTAAGTCAGTAGTAAAACAAGAATGAAGAACAGAGGCCTTACCTGGTGAGCATCATTGACAGGGATATGAAATGTACTATTCGAGAAGATTGGAAACTCCTGTGGACTCCCAGGATATTTTGTATGTGAATTAGTGGCAAGATATAGAGTGCCAGTTCCCTTAAGCACCACAAAAACTTCTTCGCAGGAGTGCCTGTGTATCGGAGTATGAGCTCCTGGAGCAAATGTCTGTAGCCACACTTCAACCTGTCTCAAAAAAAAAAAAAAGAACGTGACCATTATCAATGATAATTTAGGGGGAGAGGGAATTGCTTTCCTGGGAAAAACGTAGAATATGAAAAAATAAAGTTCTTGTTCAGCATAAACGATTGAATTTCTCAACCTCTTTAAACCCGTGTAAAAGGGAACCAGCAATTGTAGTGTGTGACAATCCAGGCCTCCCATAATTATCCTGTGCAAGTTCACTTATATTCCTCACTGTTTGCACCCCTGCATTTCAGTTTCACAAAATAAAACAAATTCAGTTTCTGTTCATCCCAATTACTCAATCACAATTACGCACACTAAGTGTTCTACAACATGACGCAGAAAGCGCATAATAAAAAACGCAATTCTGGGCATCAGTTAAAAGGACTTGCCTTCATTTGAACAATAGGAAGCTTCAACAGTTGCAGAAAGTAAAAGGGCAATCAAGAAACTGAAGTACAAGCCGCCCATGTTTAGTTTCACGAATCGCTCAGCCTCTGCAATCGAACAGTCTCCCCCACGGCCCAAATGAAACCTCCAAAACTTCGCTTTGAGTCACATCTTAAGAAATTTCATCTAAGTCACTTAAAAATGAAAATGTTTCAATTTGATCAGCGGAGTTCATATTTTTATCTTCCAATTCACAACTATAATTATAATCCTTTTGGTATATATATATATACAGAAATG